ACGGGATATCTAAAGGGACAGTCTACTTATGGAATCCCAGAGCACTACGGGTTATCTAAAGAGACAGTCTACTTGTGGAATCCCAGAGCACTACGGGATATCTAAAGGGACAGTCTACTTGTGGAATCCCAGAGCACTACTGGTTATCTAAAGAGACAGTCTACTTATGGAATCGAAGAGCACTACGGGTTATCTAAAGAGACAGTCTACTTATGGAATCGAAGAGCACTACGGGTTATCTAAAGAGACAGTCTACTTATGGAATCGAAGAGCACTACGGGTTATCTAAAGAGACAGTCTACTTATGGAATCGAAGAGCACTACGGGTTATCTAGAGACAGTCTACTTGTGGAATCCCAGAGCACTACGGGTTATCTAAAGAGACAGTCTACTTATGGAATCCCAGAGCACTACGGGTTATATCTAAAGAGACAGTCTAGTTATCAGCTTTCAGGCTCCCTGTCTCTAATTGAACACTCAGTTGCAGCTGTACATAGGAAAGGGGAGGAGTCACTGCTTTCATATGCAAATTTCAACCTGAGATACTGTAACCAATCACAGATGAGACGCCAAACGGCACTTTTTTTGTTTTTTTTAATAAAATTTACTGACAAAATTGAATGGAAGTCCCAGCGCCATGTACACCTATATACACAGAAACCTCGTCTCCGATACAAACGCACATAGAAAATAGAAACGTCCGAGGAGGGAAACCGTCTCTGTGGGGGGAGGGGCTCCTTCCTGCTCCACGCTGAAGGGCGTCCCCTGTGTCCAGAATACGATCGTCCATCGGCGAGATGCTGAAATGTTCGACGGTTTTCCATCATTATTGCTTCAGAAATTTTTAATCTGGATTCTTTTTTTTTTTTTTTAAAGAATTACAATTCAGGAGACAATAAAAAAAATATACGACCAGCTAGCTGATTTGCCTGACACCCTTTGTAAACCGTGTCAGAGCCCCGCCCCCTTCTCCGCGTCACATGACCAGGAAACGGGCCCGCCTTGATGTCGTTGGGGGAAAATAAAATGATAACATTGGCCATGTATGAGGATGGGCCTACAGATTTTTTTTTTTTTGTGTGCCTCAAGGTGAAAGACCTCCTGTGTCCCTTATGCAGGCCGTACACGGGTCGAATTCCGAACGATCACTTTTACAAGCCCAGCCCCCCCCTATAATGGGGCCATGGCTGCAGTCATGACCCCCGTGTTTTTTTTTTCATCCGACAATTCTGAATACAGTAAACGTGATCCAAATGGCTAAATAGCTGCTGGATCACTCTTACAAGCCCAGCCCCCCCCCCCCCCCCCCTTATAGTAGGCCAAGGCTGCAGTCATGACCCCCGTATCTTTTTTTTTTCATCCGGTGATTCTGAATACAGTAAAAGTGATCCAAATGGCTAAATAGCTGCTGGATCACTTTTACAAGCCAAGCCCAGCCCGCCCCCCCCATTATAATAGGGCCAAGGCTTGCAGTCATGACCCCAATCTTTTTTTTTTTCATCCGGTGATTCTGAATAAAGTAAAAGTGATCCAAGCGGCTAAATAGCTGCTGGATCACTTTTACAAGCCAGCCCAGCCCCCCCCCCCCCCCCATTATAATGGGCCATGGCTGCAGTCATGACCCCCGTATCTTTTTTTTTTCATCAGGTGGTTCTAAATAAAGTAAAAGTGATCCAAGCGGCAAAATAGCTGCTGGATCACTTTTACAAGCCCAGTCCCCCCCCCCCACATTATAATAGGGCCATGGCTGCAGTCATGACCCCCGTATCTTTTTAATTCATCCGGTGGTTCTAAAAAAAAGTAAAAGTGATCCAAGCGGCTAAATAGCTGCTGGGTCACTTTTATAAGCCCAGCCCCTCCCCCTTATAGTAGGGCCAAGGCTGCAGTCATGACCCCAATCTTTTTTTTCATCAGGCGGTTCTGAATAAAGTAAAAGTGATCCAAGCGGCTAAATAGCTGCTGGATCACTCTTACAAGCCCAGCCCCCTTTATAATAGGGCCATGGCTGCAGTCATGACCCCCGTATCTTTTTTTTTTCATCCGGTGGTTCTAAAAAAAGTAAAAGTGATCCAAGCGGCAAAATAGCTGCTGGGTCACTTTTACAAGCCCAGCCCCCCCCCCCCCTTATAATGGGGTCACGACTGCAGTCATGACCCCCGTATCTTTTTTTTTCATCCAGTGATTCTGAATAAAGTAAAAGCGACCCAAGTGGCTAAATAGCTGCTGGATCACTCTTACAAGCCCAGCCCCCGCCAGCTTCCTGGGCCGTCTCACCAGGCTCTCCCGTCTCTCGGTTGGATCTGATGCTTTGTAGGCCAGAGGAGAGATCTGGGGTCTCATGGACTCCAGATCTCTCCATAAAGAGGACCTGTCCTGGCCCATCCTATCACGAGGGATGTTGTTTGTCCGAGTTGATGAAAAAAAAAAAAGGTACAGAGGAAAAAACAATTGCAATAAATATTTAAAAAAGTGCCCCCACCCCCCTTGTGCTCACATGCAAATGAGAACGCATACGCCGCTCCCGTGCACATATGAAAACGATCGCACCAAACGCGAGGTATTGTCGCAAACGTCAGAGCGAGAGCCGTAATTCCTGGCGGTAAGGTGGGTGGGATCAAACACAGCATGACCGCCTGTGACCTTAAAGGTGGGCGGAGCCAGACAGTATGACTGCCTGTGACCTAAAGGTGGGCGGACCCAGACAGTATGACTCCCAATGACCTTAAAGGTGGGCGGAGCCAGACAGTATGACTCCCAGTGACCTTAAAGGTGGGCGGACCCAGACAGTATGACTCCCAATGACCTTAAAGGTGGGAGGGCCCAGACAGTATGACTCCCACTGACCTTAAAGGTGGGCGGATCCAGACAGTATGACTCCCAGTGACCTTAAAGGTGGGCGGATCCAGACAGTATGACTCCCAATGACCTTAAAGGTGGGCGGGCCCAGACAGTATGACTCCCAGTGACCTTAAAGGTGGGCGGGCCCAGACAGTATGACTCCCAATGACCTTAAAGGTGGGCAGGCAAAGGCAGTGTGACTTTCAGTGACCTTAAAGGTGGGTGGACCCAGACCCTATGACTCCCAATGACCTTAAAGGTGGGCGGACCCAGACAGTATGACTCCCAATGACCTTAAAGGTGGGCGGATCCAGACAGTATGAATTCCTATGAATTTAAAGGTGGGCAGGCCCAGACACAGTATAACTGCCAGTGACCTTAAAAGTGGGCGGGCCCAGACAAATTTTTTTCTGGGTGTCCGCTGTAACACATCAGCTAATCTTCATTTTACAAGCTCCTCCCAGATCTGTGACGTCAACAGCTTTTTTTGATAAAGTTTTTATTTCAAGTGCAGATGACCTGTCCTCTTTTTGACCTTTTATGCCGGACTCCGGTGACATGAATCGCCCATGTGCGTGGCGGACCGATCAGGCCAGAACAATGGACTCCGGTGACATGAATCGCCCATGTGCGTGGCGGACTGATCAGGCCAGAACAATGGACTCCGGTGACATGAATCGCCCATGTGCGTGGCGGACCGATCAGGCCAGAACAATGGACTCCGGTGACATGAATCGCCCATGTGCGTGGCGGACCGATCAGGCCAGAACAATGGACTCCGGTGACCAGAATCGCCCATGTGCGTGGTGGACCGATCAGGCCAGAACAATGGACTCCGGTGACCAGAATCGCCCATGTGCGTGGTGAACCGATCAAGCCAGAACAATGGACTCCGGTGACATGAATCGCCCATGTGCGTGGCGGACCGATCAGGCCAGAACAATGGACTCCGGTGACATGAATCGCCCATGTGCGTGGCGGACCGATCAGGCCAGAACAATGGACTCCGGTGACCAGAATCGCCCATGTGCGTGGTGGACCGATCAGGCCAGAACAATGGACTCCGGTGACCAGAATCGCCCATGTGCGTGGTGAACCGATCAAGCCAGAACAATGGACTCCGGTGACATGAATCGCCCATGTGCGTGGTGGACCGATCAGGCCAGAACAATGGACTCCGTTGACATGAATCGCCCATGTGCGTGGCGGACCGATCAGGCCAGAACAATGGACTCCGTTGACATGAATCGCCCATGTGCGTGGCGGACCGATCAGGCCAGAACAATGGACTCCGGTGACATGAATCGCCCATGTGCGTGGCGGACCGATCAGGCCAGAACAATGGACTCCGGTGACCAGAATCGCCCATGTGCGTGGTGGACCGATCAGGCCAGAACAATGGACTCCGGTGACCAGAATCGCCCATGTGCGTGGTGAACCGATCAAGCCAGAACAATGGACTCCGGTGACATGAATCGCCCATGTGCGTGGTGGACCGATCAGGCCAGAACAATGGACTCCGTTGACATGAATCGCCCATGTGCGTGGCGGACCGATCAGGCCAGAACAATGGACTCCGTTGACATGAATCGCCCATGTGCGTGGCGGACCGATCAGGCCAGAACAATGGACTCCGGTGACATGAATCGCCCATGTGCGTGGCGGACCGATCAGGCCAGAACAATGGACTCCGGTGACATGAATCGCCCATGTGCGTGGTGGACCGATCAGGCCAGAACAATGGACTCCGGTGACCAGAATCGCCCATGTGCGTGGTGAACCGATCAAGCCAGAACAATGGACTCCGGTGACATGAATCGCCCATGTGCGTGGTGGACCGATCAGGCCAGAACAATGGACTCCGGTGACATGAATCACCCATGTGCGTGGTGGACCGATCAGGCCAGAACAATGGACTCCGGTGACATGAATCGCCCATGTGCGTGGTGGACCGATCAGGCCAGAACAATGGACTCCGGTGACCAGAACCGACCATGTGCGTCTCTTTTAAATAAAACAAAAACCATCAAGTCTTTGGTCCAATCGGAAGTTGTGAAACCAACTCGCTGGGACCGTTTTATTGCTAGAGTCCTCTGCTAGTGCAATGCTGACCCCTCCCGGGAATCGGGTGACACCCCGGGGGTGTGTGGTGTCCCCGCCGGTCACTTCTTCAGACAGGAGTCTTCCAGTTCGTAAAACAGGACGTAGGCCTCGCTGGACTGCACCGTGCTTTCGCTGATGGGTGTCACCCTGTGGACAGGAAGGGGGACAGGTGTCACTAGAGGACTCCCAGAACCCTCTGGGGCAGGCAGAGACGGGAGGCGGGGCTCACCTGGAGTCGTTGTAGGCGTACCAGCCGGACGTGTCCTTGCAGTAGGCGGTGTAGTGGCCGTAGTGGACGCTGCCCGAGTGGTTGCAGAGGGCGTACAGGTTGTACACGGGGCTCCCTGAAATCGCAAAGCACGCCCGTTACCCGCGGGAAGGTACAAGGACAGCAATTCTGTGTGACGCCACGTGTGCAGCGCCGGGAATGAGACTTCTAGAAGCAGATTCATAACCTGCTTCCGAAGGGACCATCTTTGGGGAGATTTCCCTTCACTTCCTCTACTGGAGACACAACAGGAAGTAAGAAGATATCTTGAAAGTAAGAGGAACCCCCTCGTAGACCAGAAGGTCTCCCTGTTGGAAGATTTCCCCTCACTTCCTGTTCTGGTGACTATTTCTCTCCACTTCCTGTGTGCTGCTGGAGACAGGAAGTGAGCAAAACTTTCCCAAGGGGTTTGGAGGATGTAGGGATAGTAGAAACGCTTTCACAGTCCCATTGGGGAGATTTCCCTTCACTTCCTCTACTGGAGACACAACAGGAAGTGAGAACATCTCTTGAAAGTAAGGGAAACCCCCCTCTTAGACCAGAAGGTGTCCCTGTTGGAAGATTTCCCCTCACTTCCTGTTCTGGTGACAACCATATGATCTGGGATTTTCTATCAATTTCTGGAAGGGGACAAAGGTCACTTAGACATATAGAGAGGGCATCACATTGGGGATCCACCCTCTCTGTCTTGGTGGCCATTTCCCTCCACTTCCTATGTGCTGCCGGAGACAGGAAGTGAGCAAAATTCCTCCAAAGACATTGGATGGAGTAGGGATGGTAGAAACGCATTTGCTGCCCCATTGGGGGAGATTTTCCTTCATTTCCTGTCCTGGGGACACAACAGGAACTGAAAAGGCCCATCGTTTGGGAAATTTCCCCTCACTTCCTGTCCTGGAAACACAACAGGAACCAAAAAGGCTCATCGTTGGGGAGATTTCCCCTCACTTCCTGTCCCTGGAGACACAAAGGAACTGAAATGGCTCATCGTTGGGGAGATTTCCCCTCACTTCCTGTCCTGGGGACATAACAAAAACTGGAAAGGCTCATCGTTGGCGAGATTACCCCTCACTTCCTGTCCTGGGGACACAACAGGAAGACAGAGGATCTCTCAAAAGTAAGGAAAAAAAACCCTGAGACTGGAAGATGACCCTGTTAGAAAATTTCCCCTTACCCCCCTGTTCTGGTGACAACCATAAGATGGTTCCTGGGGATACAATAGGAACTGAAAATGCTCATCGCTGGGGAGATTTCCCCTCACTTCCTGTCCTTGGGACACAACAGAAACTGAAAAGGCTCATCATTGGGGAGATTTCCCCTCACTTCCTGTCCTGGCGACACAACAGGAACTGAAAAGGCTCATCGCTGGGGAGACTTCCCCTCACTTCCTGTCCTGTGGACACAACAGGAACTGAAAAGGCTCATCGCTGGGGAGACTTCCTCTCATTTCCTGTCCTGGGAGCACAACAGGAACTGAAAAGGCTCATCATTGGGGAGATTTCCCCTCACTTCCTAACCTTGGGACACAACAGGAACTGAAAAGGCTCATCATTGGGAGATTTCCCCTCACTTCCTGTCCTGGGGACACAACAGGAACTGAAATTGCTCATCGCTGGTGAGATTTCCCCTCACTTCCTTTCCTGGCGACACAACAGGAACTGAAAAGGCTCATCGCTGGGGAGATTTCCCCTCACTTCCTGTCCAATGGACACAACAGGAACTGAAAAGGCTCATCATTGGGGAGATTTCCCCTCACTTCCTATCCTGGGGACACAACAGAAACTAAAAAGGCTCATCCTTGGGGAGATTTCCCCTCACTTCCTGTCCTGTGGACACAATAGGAAATGAAAAGGCTCATCGCTGGGGAGATTTCCCCTCAATTCCTGTCCTGGCGACACAACAGGAACTGAAAATGCTCATCGCTGGGGAGATATACCCTCACTTCCTGTCCTGTGGACACAACAGGAACTGAAAAGGCTCGTCACTGGGGAAACTTCCCCTCACTTCCTGTCCTGGGAACACAACAGGAACTGAAAAGGCTCTTCGCTAGGGAGATTTCCCCTCACTTCCTGTCTTAGGGACCCAACAGAAAGCTAAAAAGGCTCATCCTTGGGGATATTTCCCCTCACTTCCTGTCCTTGGGACACAACAGGAAGTCAGAAGATCTCTCCAAAGTAAGGGAAAAAAACTGAGACCGGAAGGTGACCCTGTTAGAAAATTTCCCCTTATCCCCTGTTCTGGTGACAACCATAAGATGACCATTTCCCTTCACTTCCTGTTTGGTGCCCGAGACAGGAAGTGAGCAAAATTTCTCCAACGATAATAAATCCCTTTCAAGTCTCATTTCCAGCTGGATAAAGATCGCTATAAAACCAAATCCCAAAAAGCCTTCCCCACCCCCCACTCTGTCCAATGGATGGAGTTTCTTCTCTTGCTCCGGCATTAGATGGTAAGCTCCTCTGGCGAGGATGAAGGGCGGAGCGGACACCACCGGACACCACAGAACGCGCCCCCCCCCCCCCGCATCCTCCGTACTCACCGGCCTTCTCGCTGGCGAACTCCTTCAGGTTGAGTCGGTGAACGGGGAACTCCACGGACGCCGCGCACTTCTTGATTGAAAACCGCGTGGTGGAGAACCGGTTGAGGTCTGGTGGGCGGGGCGTTAAGGAAAATCTCCAACCGTGTGCGGTCTGTGCGGCTGACAAGGCGGTGCCGGGGGGAGTGCCGCACTCCACCGCCGAAAATATCAATACCGGCCCATGCCCCTAGGAACCTTCCAGAGCTGCCGCCTGCAAACCGTTCTGAAGGCACAATCCACACGAAGGACGCAACCACACCCCTGCGGAGCATTTGGTAATTTATTATTATTTTATTATATTGTTTTAAATTATCGATTATGTTTTATTGTTTTTATTTAATTTTATTTAAATGATCAATTATTACTTTTATTTTATATGATCGTTTACTAATATTTTATTATATTATTTTAAATTATTGATTATTATTTTTATTTATGATAATTTATTATTTTAAATTATCGATTATTTTTTTTTAGATATTTTATATTTATTTTTTTAGATATTTTATTGTTTTAATTACATTATTTTAAAATTTAAAATTATTTTATTTTTTTTATTTATTTATTTTTTTATTTTTTTTTTTAATTTTTATT